TTTTATAAAAATATTTTTTGAATGCTATCAAGCTTGCTTCTTTTAAACTTTTAACATTACCTGTAATTTTCACTACACTCAATTCTGGTTCAATGGTATGAGATGTTACTGTGCCATCAGCTTTTATTTGAAATATTTTCACATCATTACATTTAAATACTTCTACTGCAGTTGACTCTGATCGCAAAGTTGATGATTTGAGATTTTCTAGAGCCTTTGCTAAATCACTGTAAGTGATAGATCCTTCAGTTCCCTGAAACAAGAAATTTTTAGTTTAGTAACAGAATATTGACTTGGTAAAGCTAATTTTTAAACATTACTTATTATATAAAATTACAAGGTCTTGATCGTCTTGATAGACAAACGAGTACAAATTAAAAAAAAATACTATTGCCTGATACTAAAATAATTAATATAAAATTAGCAAAGTAATTTAATAAAGGTGGTTCTACCAATTCTGGTGAAGCGCTCTTCTCCTTTTCGTAAGCAGGTGATTTCATAATTTGAGTAATTCTCTGAAGAACTTCTCCTCTTGTTCCTTTCATCTTCTGCACCATCGCGACAGCTTCTTTGAAGCTATCATCCATAACATTTTCTGGGTATTCCACTGGTATTTTAAGAGCTTGGTCTATGTGATAGATTCCCAATTTGTAATATTTGAGAGCCTAAAAATAGAATTATGATTCAACTTTATATCGGCATTTGAATTTTGAGAGATCGATCCATAAGCTTAACCTTAAACAAATAAATAGTTGTCTTAATAATATGTACTTTTCTTGATGCATGTAATAAACAATGACAATTCATTTCTTAAAAAATATTAAATATCACCCCAACTGATATATTTGCCAGATATTATTTAAAATAGTGTCAAAAAAACATCACATTGTATGGTTATATTTTGATAAATAATTAACGATATTCTTGATTATTATTACTAAGATACCTTAGTAATAACAATCAAGATATCGAATATTCTATTACATATTACAATTAATTACAATGGAATATTCTATTACATATTCTATTACAATAGATTCAAAAAATATGTTAAATAAACATGCTTATAGTTAATTCTAATATTTGAAATCACCTTGTGAATTATTAGCTAGTAACATCTATGTTACTAGTAATATGATCATATTACTATTATTTTGATCAGAAATATTCGGGTAATATTAATAAATCAAGAAGTATAAATATTGATAATGTATTTGCTTAATAATAATTACAACCTATTAAATTAATTAAATAGTTACCTCATGTGGTTTTTCATTCTCCTCACAAGTAATTCCTTTTTCAATATCAGTGAAAGCTTTAATATAATATTCCTTTATTTTCTCAGCAGTTTCGTACCAATGTCTTGAAGATGCTTGGTTTCCCATTTTGAAATATTTAATTTAATATCTTTATATCAAATAACTTTTATAATAAAATAAATGATGTAAAGTCAAATTTCTTTTTATAAATACCAGTCTTCTGTGCAACACTAATAACACATTGTGCAATATTCTACGCAATAACTATTCTGTTGTAATATCAATGTCGAAAGAAAGCATGATATATGTTCAAAGTACAGAACGTTTAAGATTACACAAATGATTATTTAATTACTAATTTAAAATCTTGGATCAAATTATTAATAGACTTTCAACGGCTTTTAGAAATTATTAATAGACTTCAAAAGGCTTTTAACTAAAATAACAAATCAAAGTGTAATGTACGAGCTAAAAGAATGCAAAACTGTCAATGACTAATGTCACGTGTGTCACAAACGTCAAACATGTAACATAACCTCACTTTTATATTTACTTTTTACAAAATTAATCGTACTAAATTAATTTTTATAAACTTTCGTGTCAAAAAGTTTATTTGTAATTTATACATTTAATAAATTAATTATAATTTAAAATGTCACATTAAAATACAATGTACTTTGTTGTGTAATATGTCGCTAAATTGGAATCTAGTCATGTCAAATCTAATATAATTTTTTAAAACAATATTTATAAATTTAATTTAAAATTTTCAATCGATTTAATATAAAAATTGCTTAAAATTTGTGTTATATTGGAATAAAATGAGTAATTTGCGTGCACAGGTAATGAGTTTCGTAACATTTATAAGGAAATACCAAAATAAACACAGATTAACATAAGCTGTATGAAAATTTGTCCTACACTTTCATTTATAATATTTATTTATCTTTCTGAGGCCCACGTTACAAGATAGCCATATTGCCCATATTCTTATTATTAATACATGTGCATTAATAATTTCTTCATTAAATCATGAATTAAACGGTAACACACATAATTTTTGTCCCTACAAATAAAAAACAGGTTGTATTATCTCTGCATATTATTAATTTTTAATAAAAAAGTGTCTTTATATTTATTCGATTTTTTTTTGCAGCTGCATATCCAATTATCTATAAAATGTATTTCATGTAGATTCTCGAAAAACTTCCATTCTGATCAATGAAGTAATAAATTTCTTTTTCTTCCTTTCTTTTAATGTCACTAAGCTATAGTTTCAGAGCTGTTTTTTGTCACTATTTTAAAGTCTTATTTTTATATTTCAAATATATTTTCATGCAATGGTGTATCATATCGTTCACTCTCATCTGTGTTCAGTTTCACTAATTTACCAGCTTTCTCGTTTCTTTTTATTTTCACATGGCCCAACTGCCTTGTATCTTATATTTATATACTATTCATATAGAAAATATAGAAATAAATATAGGTTAAAATGAGGTATATAAAAATTTGTCCTACTACATTTATAATATTTATATGTTGAGGCTCTCATTACAAGATAGCCATATTCCTATTATACATACATACGTATATAACATTTCTTCATAAAATCATAAATTAAACTGTAACATACATATTTGTCAATGTAAGTAAATTAACAGGTTTCTGCATATCAAATTATCTATACAATATATTTCATGTACATGCTCGAAAAACTTTCATGATTGCACTTTATTCTGATCAATGAAGTAATAAATTGTCGATCTTCCTTTTAATGTCACTAAGCTATGGTCTTAGATTTATTTAATTAGCAGTTTTATTGTCACTATTTCAAAGTCTTATTTTTATGTTCTAAATATATTTTTATTCAATGATGTATTATATCTTTCCCTCTTATCTGTGTCCAGTTTTGTTAATTTATCTGCTTTTTTGTTTCCTTTTGTACTCACATGGCCCAACCTCTATGTGTCTTATAATTATATACAATTCATATAGAAAAAAATTGAGTGTTCAATTCACATTAGGTCAAATTACTTTTGTGTTAATATATTGAATGTTTACACATTTATTTTTTAATAATACAATTGAAGAACAAGCTAGACTTTGTCACCGTAAAATGACATGTGTTAATTTAAATTGTGTTATTTTGAAAAGATCAACTGCAATTTGTAACAAAAACAAATAATAAATAAAATTTAAAACTGATTACTGTATATGATTTTCTATTTGTAATTCTAAATATTAATTAATATGTTCAGCAGGTTCTACGGAGTTTCAAGGAACTACACCGGGCAAGGAAATCAGTTTTTGCTGGAGATGATGTAGCTTTGAAAGCTTGTAGAGATAAAATTAATGAAGGATTCTTTAAAAATAAACATGTAACTAATTCCGATTCAATAAATGAACTTTTAGTGTTTGCAAATGCTGTAGCAAAAGAATTACGCCAGACTGTAATACAAGCTAAAGAAGTTAGCCCAGGAAAATATGGTAATATATAACCTGATTTTGTATATGTTAAATTGCTTAGAAAAGTAATTAATTTTTATATATATTTACAGAAGCTAGAATAACAAAAGATACTCAACTACTTGATAATGTAGAATTTAAGCTTATGCCCGATGAAGCTTACAAAGTTTCGCCTAAATCAAAATGCAAGAAAGATTAATATATTGATGTACTGTAAAATGTTAGACTGAAATAAATTAGATTGTATTTAATTTAAAGGAGTTTAATTTTTCAAAATTCTTTAAATTTGTTGATTTGTATAAACGGAAGTGAAATTCCATTAACGTTTTAATTTGAATTTGAATATTTATTTTCTGCAAAAGAATTATGATTATCGGGTATGATTATGTTTAAATTACATATAAAATACTAAATTAAATTCAATATATAATACTAAATTTTTTTATTAGTCGTTAAAATTTCTTCTCAAGTAAATAATTTCCTGAACTTTATGGAAGAACAAGACATATATTTATAAATAATTTTTAATAATTAATGAAAACTCTAATTTTATAAAAATTTGACCCTTATTGACCCTAAAATTTGTTGTTATTTTGGCATTAATTTGTTGGTTTGGTATATATGTGTGTATATATTAATATTTTTGTTGGCTTGGCAGTTACGGCAGTAAAATCAGTTTCAATTACCATTAAAAAAACAGGTTGAATTTTTAAAGCTATTACATTTTCAAATATATAAATACATTTTTTTCAGATATACTAAATTATGTATAATTTTGCTAATTATGAAAAATATGATACATAATGACTTTATCTAAATTATCTTTACTGGCGTTTTTTCGAGGTAGAATCGCTACTAATTTTTATTCAGCGTTAGGTTTTCGAAGTTCGGTCATTTTGGGGTGTTTCATTTTTATTTTTTTTTTTTTTATCTTAGAGACTGAGATAAATGAATTGCCAAACCAAGAATTCTCTAATAAAGAACTGCTTATTGCAAAGAAGATGAAAATAGTGACCTGACCGTTTATAGAAATCTGCGAAAAACAAAAGTTAAGCCACCACAGAACCTGATGGTGGAAGATGTTTTAATGTGCCCCAAAAATTAGCTACAGATATTAATTTCTCTCGTTCTTTACCAAAACCGGCTGAATCGTTTTCAAAAGTTTAAAATCCATTCAGTATATCTCGATGAGATGTAGCGTTTATCAGTTTTGCGCGACGATTGACCAAGCCATTTCTTTGTAATTAGCAAAAAAGTGTCATTTTTTTGTCTACATTTTAGCTCACAATCGTGATTATTAAAAAATTCAAATATTCGAAAAACATTATTTGGGAATCGTGCTGGACGAAGATCGGCCAGACCGTTTCTTCGTAATGAATTGTTAAAAAAATACGAAGAATTCTAGAATGAGCTGCTGATATTAGATTTTCAATAATATGTAATAAAAAAATTGTACAGAACTTTAAACACGTTTTTCTCAAAATAATGTTTTTAAAATCGGTGACCAACATAACTCGAAAACGCTTAAATCAGATTATCCTCAAATTTTAACAGGATTTTCTTGAATATATTTTTTAGTGATAAATTGAGTGACTTTTCCTATCAGATAAATTTTTGGTTTTTATGAACAATTTGAGTTCAAAATTTCGACAAAAAATCGATTTTTTTAAAGAAACCGTTATTTTGCCAAAAATTATTATTTTTTTTATTTCTTTGATTAATTACATACTAGATTTATCATTTCTTTAGTGAAATCTTTTTGGTTTTTCAAATTCAGATAAATTAATTACTGCAGAGATAGAGTGGTCACTGCAAAACGTGTTTTTCGAGAGGTGCTCCCGCAGATTTGCTGTAGCTTTTTTTTAAAAAAATATTTTTACCTATAATTATTTTTAACAAGATATGCCTTTATGTGTATAAATTTTTGTATCAATAGATTTAATAGTTTACACAGAATTTTTTTTTAGAAAAATGACTTTTTTCGGTCGATTAATTGCGTATATAACCCCTTAAAGCAAAATGCCACTTACAATTGGTCTAATGGACTTGAGAGTTGGGTGCTGTTTAATTAGAGGTTGAAATTTGAAGTAAACTATTGTACACATTCTTGTATGCTATTATATTTATAATATTTGTATGTTACAATTAATTCTGACTACAAATAAATCTGAAATAAAATTAGAAGAGCTAAATTAAAATACGATACATATACACAAATATCGCAATGAAGGCGTTTCTACCAGTAACGTCTGCATCTCTTCCTTCCTGGTATTTTGTTCATAGGTCCGTATGTTGTTCTAGCATCAAGATGCTATATAATATGTGTATGTATGTGAAGGATGTGGAAATGCAATTTCACTTTACGATCAATCAAACTGAAAACCGACTGGATAAGAACGAATTTTCCTAGATTTTCACGAAAAAACCCTCGACATACTTATATACATACATTCTTGCGTAGACAAACCAACACTGGCAGCATAATATACAATACATAACAATGAGCGAATACAAGACTGTTATGTGCAACCTGGGTGTATGTGAAACGTGAACCGGTGTCTGCCGAATTTATGTCATGTTTATGCCGTTGTATACTTTTGAGATATGAGGATTTTTTGGCATTGAGCATTCCACTGGTATCAAAACTTGGCCCAGGAAATAAAGATCCACGTAGACGGTTTTACTGCTTTTGAATAAAGATTTTATGAAAGATACGTTTTTTATATTAAATTAGATATAATTTGAATTTTACTACTCATTGAGGTGGGAAATTCTACTACTTGTACTTGAATATATATATTTCAATAAATGTAAGTACTCGTATGTACATTGCATTTTATAACATGATTTTTTACCCGTAAGTATAGTATCTATC